ACGCGTAGATCTCATCGCTATGAATCTAACACAACTTGAATGGGCTAAAACGGAATTAAAACGTAGAAGATATGAATTAAACAAGATTTCCTTTAATAATAGATTAAATCTAACCTCAAATTTTAAAAGTTGAAGATATATCTAATAGTACTGTGAACATGGAGATTATGAAATTACGAACCTAACACAAGTTGAACGGGTCAAATCGGAGTTAAAACGGAGAAGTTATGACTAAAACAAAATTAGTGGCAAAACTATAAATAGGTGAAAACGTATTTTAGATCTACCCGAAGCAAAAACGCTTTCAGAAAAAGAAAACAGAATCTAGAAAGGCGCTAGGATGGTGGGTTCTATAATTAAAAACCTAAGGGACCTTTTTGCATAACGGTCAACCAAAACGGTATCGTTGAATACCAACCGTTGGATCCCGATCCAATGAGCCAAAAGAGATCATGTGAGGAAGAAGATGGCGGCGGCCGACCGAAATAGAACAGGCGCGGCGGCGCCATGGCTGGCAGAGCAAGGAGAGCTCGTCGGCGATGTTGGTTAAGGGCCTATGGAGCACGGTTGGACTCACCGGTGACACAGGGAGAGAGCGGAGGAGATGGGGATCTCACCTAGGGATACCTCGGTGGCGGAGAAGGAGCAAGGCGGGCGTGGGACTCGACAAGGCGGTGGCTCTCGTGGTGGTGCTAGGGCTAGCTACCTTGGCTCCAGCAGGGGCGGCGCTTGCCATTGGGTTGGAGGCAGAGCAGGCTCGGGCGGCATTTAAAGGGGCACTTGCCATGGTGCCGCTAAAACTAGTGATAATTTGGGGAGATCTTGGCATGTATTTTGGGTGTGTGGTGAGGGTTGAGTCGACCAGACAGGATTCTATGATAAGTCTTTGGATGAGTCTTGCTAGGGGGATGCGACCTAGGCATTCCCTACGAGAGGTACCTGTGGTGGGTACATGTGTGAGGAGTATATTCTAAGGAGGCCACTCTTCGGAATGGAGGTGCCATCGAGGCACGGGGTGTTGGTTATCCCTTTGAGAAGATATCATGTCTGGTCCCCCTAAGGACTAGTATGTTGAGAGAATCGGATCATAGGACCCTACGTACACACCACTCGCTCCTGAATGGGCTGGGATGGTTACTCGACCAACTAGGATGGTGTTGTTACTACTAGGTTGGAAGTGGATAGTGTAGGGAGGTATGGGCGTCTGGCCCACACCCTCCTAAGATAGCGTAGTGACCTCTGGGGGCCTAGTACAACGTCTCACAGTCTCAACATGCCAATGGACTCCGGGGTGGCCTAGGGCTGAGTGGTAGGGTGGCACCATACCGGTTGGGAGGTTGTCGGTATCAGCCTAGGCGGGGCACCGCCGATGATGGTGATCTTGTTGTTCTAGGTGTACACGCTCTGCAGAGTTGATCGATCTATATGTATAGTCGCGTCCTTGGATATGGACATTCCTATGACCTACGCTTCCCTTGATTAGTGAGAGGAGTCCTTTCTTCTTCTTTCCCCTAGGTTTGGTGTTGGTTTTTGGCTTTGGCCATTGAGGCAAGGCATGAGAGAGAGTCGTCCTTGCCGCCTAGAGAGTGAGAGTGTGGTGAGATGTGTGTGATGGGATGGGTGAACGTGTGTGGATGAGATGGGTTAAAACTTGATGAGCTATTATAAAATATAGATGAACTTGCTTAGGAAAACTACAACCATAAATAGGCCTTTTGCTCTACCCTTGGATTCCACTTACCATAAAGCAAACACAAAGCATAGGTGGGAGCCAGTGCCCAGTACAAATCGTACTGAAAGATTTTTTGGTAGGTTTTGGACGTAATCTACGATGACAGTGGAGATTAGGAGGACTAGATGGTCTTGTCCTACACTCAAGTTTGGTTGAGGAGATAAAGTCTACGCCTACTGATGCTCTACGCTTACTCTGATGATTGCCCGTGAAGGAGGAGCCTTCACCCGCTGAGGCGCTACATCCACTTTGATATTGTTCTGTGTGCGTCTTCGCTAGTATACGTTGTACTTAGGTGTGTTACCAAGTCTCGTAATACCTTGTAAACTTGTAATTCTATGATGTATGAACCATGGTATCAACTGAATAATGATAATATGATAGCTTAGTCTTCCTAGACTATCACATTATGATGTAATCTATGGATTTCGCCTCAAGGAAATCGTGGATCATTTCATCTCTTGTCCTCCCTCTATATTAATCTCTAATAGTGTATTATCTTACCATTACTAATTAGAGGCCCTAAAGGATGCACCATGTTAATTCCCGCCAGATGCGCTAGAAAAAAGATAAATTCAAGAAATTCTCACATTAATCAAAACATCTGGTCTTTAATTTGGTAGACTCGAATCATCATCATCGATAATAGCCATAGGATCTATTGTAATTTAGAATAAAAATTATCCACCACTACCGTAATGAAAAATACATAAAGTGACCCCTAATTTTGCATCTAAATTACCCACCGCTGCCATTACACAAAATAATTTAGAATAACCCCTAAATTTGTATATAAATTACCCACATCTGTCATTATGAAACACAATTCAAATAACCCCTAAATTTGCATCTAAATTACACAACTTTATCATTATGAACCATAATTCCAAATAACCCCATAAGATTGCATCTAAATTACCCATCTTTACTATTCTAAAACATAATTTCAAATAACCCTATTAACTTTATATCAAAATTACTCACATCTACCATTATAAAAGATATAATTTAAAATACCCATGATGCTTCCATAAGTTCACCTTCCTTATCATTATAAAAGATAATACAAAATAACCTCCTAAGGTTGCATTCAACCTACCCATAAATGTCAGTATGAAAGATAAATATTTGTATGTACCTTAGTCGTTTAAAAAATAAACAAAAAAATATCAAATCTACATGTAAATGCTAATATATGTTATTTTAGAAAACAAACTATTATTCATAAAGTATGGTGTGTGTGAAAATATTCATTTAACACAAGACATAGCAATAACGCTGACTACTGACTTCAATTTATATTAATACTCCATGGTAATAAATTTCAGTTATTTTAAATAAACTTATACATTCTAACTAAAACATTATATCATATAAATATTAGTAATTTAATTTTAAACACTCTATGATATATAAAATAATACTACACACAAATACTCATGTGATATAACAAATTCAACATGTCCAGTGTCGCGGTGAAAGATGAGTTTCAAGTTAACATGTGGAAAACAATACTACTTGGACCTACTTTTTAATAATAGAACAACTTTTGAATAAAAGATTAAAAAATAGATGTTTTACCTTAACAAGTGGAAAATTTTGCAACAACTCCATTAAAAGTTGAAAACCAAACTATAAATGTTGTAATGATCAGCAAACTTTAAGTGAGATTAAGCTAGCAAAGGAACTATTAAAAATCAAACCAAGGGTCACCAGAGTATGAGATGCAATCTTGCTCGGTAGCGGCGAACAAATAAGTCTCGATATGATTCTTATTGTTTACTATGATTATAATGCCCTTAGATTACTTCCAATTTACATGCTAATGATGATAAAGAAAATAGGGGACCAAGATGCACGATGTTATTAATAAGGCCTACATGGATTTCACTACCTTTTTAATACATTCACATTTATAAATCCATTTTACTACCTTTTTAATACATTATTCAGATCTGATTTGCATTAAGATTTGTCACATGTATTTATCTACCACCATATACCATTCAGTCAGTTTGAGCCATTCTGGCAAGCAACTCCTGTGCAAACATACAGTCTACTATTAGGCCTACATAATAATTACTTAGTTAATGAAGCATACATATAATAATACTAAAATAAAGACCCATGCAACGTATAACTACTAATATAAGCTATTAGAAAAAAATTATCTATAAAGTAGCTATATATTCTAAATCATATAGTAGCTATATATATTTCTAAATTATATACTTCTATAACTGTTAATAAGTTAAAAATAAGCATAATGTTATGTTCCACCGTATAGACCAACTACACATGTATACATTTGAATAACTATTTATACAACTTATCATGCGTGAAAAATTATTCCCTTAATAAATGACATAGTAATTAAGTTATATTAATACTCCAAGATAATAAATTTTGCAAATTGTTATTCAAGATAAGTGTACACATTTTGACTGAAATGTTATAATATATAAATATTTGTAATTAAATTTTAAGCACTCTATGTTCTAAAAAATGATGTTATAATAAGCCATTATGAAAGATAATACAAAGTAACATATTTAGATTTGTATCTAAATTATCTATATCTTATGATTATTTTAATAGCTTAAAAAATTAATAATGATAAAGCATAATATGTTTCTCTATTGATCATTTTATAAATATTAATACAATAAAAATTGATTAAAGTAAACATACATATTGTGCCAACATGCAAATCACACACACATACACATACTTAAGATATATATTTTTATATTTTAACTAAAATGTTTGACATATCTATATTGATAATATAACCATTACTACATAAAATTTCATTGATAAAAGACCAAACATCTTAAGAAGTGAGGATATTATTATATACCATAGGTGCCTAGGTCTTCCCCATCGTAAATCTCACAAACTCCATCACTAATCTTAAGTGACATGGTGGAGGGTTAAAAATTAATGATTACCTATGTCATCATGATACTTAAGAGTAAATATTAATACAAACATTTACTCCTAAGGTTCTAACCCGTGTGAGAGCACGGGTTGATGGACTAGTGTAATTAAGAATTAGTTCTTTCTAATATTTTCTCCATCCTTTTTGTGCTTTTCATTGTTTCCTACTAAATATCTAGTTCATCCTCACAGGCCAGTGTTGTGTGTGCGTCTCTAGCCAAGGCCACCAGAGACCACGGTCGTGCTACAGAGGTACGTAGCAACTAATTCCTCGAGAAACACATTGGACCAGGACGAGTTCCTAGGTGGGCGCATTGCCAAGCTCTAGATGCAGGTCAAACGCCAGAAGGCCGCCAACGATGAAGCGAAGGCCAATCTTGTCCTCCACGACATCATCCGGTGCCACAAGGACATCAGCGATGTGCCCCTCGAGATCCTTGCCAACGTCAAGAAGGTGTTTGAGAAGCGCATGGAGGAAGCTACCGACACAATCGACAACAACCTCATCGTGTGTTAATAATGAGTTTTATTACTTCATTTTGATTGTTGCCTATATATGCATTTTGAATGCATGTGTCACACACGTGCGCATCTTATTTATGGGTCACACTTGCACTCGTATACAAAATTAACAAGGTTGATATTTTCTAGATAATTGAACTTATTAGAGTGGTGCTAGACCATGTTCTTTGTTAGTCACTTAAAATTGAGGTGTACTTCTCCGTCATAGTTAATGAAATATTTAAATCTATTGTCTAGCTATGTGTAGTTTTTATGATCTGTTTGATTAATTACCTTTAATTGTTATACCTATAAATCCTATAGTTTATACCCACAGGAGTACACTGCTGTTAGTAATTACTAGAGATCCGTGATATTCTATGATTTATTCAGTGAGAGGAACAATGGGAGTAACATTCATAATTTTTTCTTGACACGTCAATATGTCATGAACATTTTTGTGTGGAGCATATGTCCGGTAAAATGAGGATAGGCATGTATCAACAATTGTGTCCTAGTGGAAAAATAATTATTTATATACCCAACTATATGTTGTGTCATCAAATATCTCTTGCACTCTTCCTTGTTTTGAAGCAGACACATTTCCATGTTGGCAGCCACACAGGCTACAAAATGAGCACCCCCCCTCGATCATCGTTCTCACACGAACCGAGCATAAACGAACAACATTCTTTTCCAACATCACGACATGGCTAGCCAATGACTCAAGATCCAAATGTGCCGTGAACAAGAGCGGCAAGCAATATTAGAAGAGTGACGCCAAAGCTGATCGTAAAGAAAGAGCTTTCTTCCCTCTGCAACGTTTTAAGATATTCAAATGACTCCTCTAAGGATATGATCGGTCATAAGAAGTTCTTGCACAAGTGCATTACGAAGCTGAGGGTGCAGGTAGGACACAAAGTGGCTACCCACCACGAAAGAGGGTGTCAACCACTCAACCTCATTCTCCATGACAACTTTTGGAGGCCACGGGCATCATGCAGAGGTATGCAATTGACTCCTCTAAGAATTTGATTGGTCACGCTAGGAGTTCCTGCACGACTCATTGTCAAGATGAGAATGTTCATAGAAAAAATCAAAGCTGGCAACCACAGGTATTGTCATGGGTTCGTAACCACAACGGTAATTGGGTTGTTCGACATGGGTCGATGTTTGTATCTCCGGTGCCTTGAGCACTCAAAACACAAGGGGTTTATCCTAGTTCGGGCGCCTAAGCCCTATATATGTCCAGCAGTATTGTTCTTCATGTTAGGAATGCTCAATCAAGAGTTCTTACAACAGAGTCAAGAGAGTGGGAAGTAGGGGAGTAAGTCGAAGGACCAAAAACGGCGACTAGAGGGGTGGTGAATAGGAGCCTCAAATTTCTTTTAAAACTTTAAGCCACTGTCTCAAAATCACGACCCAAGAGCAAAGGCACTAGAGAACGGTATGATCACAAGCCAACGGGTGGCTGGGTACCTTTGGCAATAACCAAGAGGTACAGCGAATCAACCGAGAACAAACGGAAACAAGTGCTCGAGAGAACGAGAGAAAACAGCACAATCTGCAAAAGCCCGGACTGTCTGCCGTAGGGAGCCCGGACTATCCGCGGGTCAGGTCCCGAACTGTCCGGGGTTGAGGGCCACACTGTCCGGCGTTCAACTCCTAAAAATTAAACGATGAGAAACAGTTCTGACCTGGGTAGAAAGAAGAACGGTGGACTATCCGCAGTTGAATCCTGAACAGTCCGCAAGTCAAACACCAAAAACGAAATTGCTGAAACAGTTCTAGACACGCTTCAGCAGCAGCCCCGGACTGTCCGCGGGTAGGCCCGGACTGTCCGGCGTTCAGAGCAGCAAAACACGACCAAAAGAAGACCTTATGCTTGTGACATGAACAGTAACAGTGGACTGTCTAGGGGTTAGGGGCGGACTGTCTCACGAGTCACGAAATTAGCACGGAACAGATCACCCGAAAATCGCCTCCACCCAAAATCCGTTCGATTTGTGGTCAAACAAAACCAATTGCCACCAGATTTTAACCACATGGTCACAAGGCAATAGGTGAGCTATCTCTAGGAGATCATCGCCCAATTTGAAGCCAATCAATAAGAAATTGGATGAACAAGAAAAACACCGGTTTTCAACCCTAGAGCTTGATTTGCCCCGATCTATGTACTCGTGAGGAATTAGATGAAATCCCTCAGTGAAAAGGCTCAACTCACATCCTAGTTCATCTTAGTGTAAAAGGAACAAATTAAAATGGTCTCAAAATAATGAATCGAACCACACTAGTGAAGGGGGAATGGAAGAACATGAAGAACACAAACGCGATTCACAAGAACTCACAAATTGAATCCTGGAGGACACGAGGAGGTTAGGGCCTTCATTCCCGCTGCAATCTTTGGTTCTTACACAAATTCTCCAATTTGTGGACCTCTCTCACAAGAAAACCTAAGGGGAGGGGAAAACCTAGAGAAGGATGAAGCAAAATGAAAGAGGTAAGGAAGATGGGAGCTCCCTCATCCGATTTTACAGGGCTATTACACAATCCCAGTTTTGCCCTTAGATATTTTTTAGTCGAACCATTTAACCCGAGGGCACTATGGTCCAACCTGAGGTAGCCCTTCATGAGATAGCTTTGCCTCGATGAGAACTCCTCGATGCCGCCACGTGCCGTCCGTTCCTCCTCGGAACCTCCGCCCGGGTTTTGAGGCTCAAACCCGTGACACCGCCACCGATGGTTTTGTGGCCCAAATGACCAAACCGCCCATGAGTAGTGTACTCCATATGTGTCCCCCGCCACTTGACACGTGTCACCGCCATCCTCGACCGACCGACCGCCAAGTCCTCCTGAGCCCCACTCGACTCGCACATCCACCATCTTGACTCGGTCAACACGGTCACTCCCATGTACACTTGCGCTTGTTGATGTCCTAGATGTTAGCCACCATGGCTGGTCACCCGGCCTCCTAGTCCCTTAGTCCAAGCCTCATGTCCATCCTTCATTGCTCTCGGTCCATCGGCATGGCACGTCCCTACTTGACCTTCACCTCACCGTCAACCACCGCCTCCGAGCTCCACACCTACACACCATAAGCCAAGAGATATGTCGCACAACCCAACTCACACCATGGTTAGCTCACAAACTCAACCTAGGTCATGGATCATGTTAACAATCACTCATCAGAAAATGAACTACAAGGGCACATATCAACCTTGTGTTCGCAATCTCCCCCTTGATGAGTGTATTGTCAACACCAACACACGAACAACTTGAGCAAAAGAAAAAGAAGAAGAAGAAGAAACAAAGAGCTCACCCAAATGACCAAAAGCCAGAGAAAAGCCAAAACAGGGTTATTTGAAATGAGCAACACTTTGCAAAAACTTGGTCCCCAAAGACATGGCCAATGGCTCGACGCAACCAAGTACAATACAGCTAGCCCTCAAGAAGAGGCAAAACAGGCTCAACACCACTAGCCAACACCACTAGCAAAGCTCAAAAAGCTAGAAAAGCAGCTAGACCCTCCAGAAGAGGCAAAGACTCAACACATCTAGCAGAAGCAACTCAAACGCAACTCCCCCTGAACAAATGTATGCACTCAACATGAGGTGGGTTTGGTATCTCTCCCCTTTTGTGCGTGGAAATCTCTCCCCCTTGTTGACACATGCAGTTATCAAGCTAAACCCAAAGACTGCAACTCCCCGTCAAATATGCTATGAATGCAAAGGATGCAGAAATGCAAAAGCTTCAGGAGTACAGTAATTAGAGTGAAAAGATGCTCTAACGAGTGCTATCATGTGTGTATAGCAACAATTACAAGTGCTAGCAAATGCTCAAAATGATCAAGTGAAACGAAATATGATAGTTAAGCAATTTGAGCAATATTAAGCAATTTCACCAAGGGATTCACCACTGAAAGTAGCACATAGTAGGTATAAGCTGGAAATCAACCTAGTGCTAATAGTATATACAAGGTGAACTACCCCAAGCAACGATCACACATCATGTCAAAGACAAACCTAAAACTTGTGTTTTCATCAAAATTTAAATTTATTGAAGTTTGTAGCTTAACACAAGAATTAGTCAAAACATGTGTGTGCGAGAGGTTATCGGTACTGTCAGGCCTAACTTCGTAACCATGCCAAGCCTATGTTATAGACAATCAAAAGCTTAAGATAGTGGTTTCAGCATCCACTACAAGGCTCAAGTTCATCCAAATGTGCAATTGGAAGCCATCTCGATACCTTGACGTAGGACAGTACAGACCCATCTCGATCTTTTCTCATCACTTAGCTTGATTGTCAAGTTTTAGCACAAGAAAAGTTGTCCAAGCAAGTGAATGACTCAAGGCATGAGACATAACAGCCTAATATATAAATGATAGCATAAGGGATCTCAACAAGACCTACATATGCTAGTTGCCAATCTCAGCGGTGAACAATTTTCATGTTTCAACAAGTTTTAGTCAAGTTCATAGTTTGGAAAAACAAGCTCAGCTCATAACATGCATCAATTGATCAAAAAGAGCCTAAGCCAAAAGCACCATTAGGTACATGCATAACATCCCAAATAGAGCATAATTTCAATCTAATCACTATAGTCATGAAGCTCAAAATGCACTATAATACATGATGAAATGAAATGCAAAATGCAATATGATATAAAGGACAAAAGCAAAAACTAAGCCAAAAAGAACACAAAACTAGAGTACAACAACGAAAGTTCCCCTCCTCTAAAAAGGGAAACAAACTCCAAGCTCCCCTCGCAAGCGAGCAAACTGGGCTTGGTCAAGTGGTTTTGTGAAGATATTTGCGAGCTAGTTTTTGGTATCAACGTGGTGCAGATCGATATCACCTTTCTCATAGTGGTCACGCAAGAAGTGAAAGCGGACTTTGATGTGCTTTGTTTTTGAGTGAAGGACTAGGTTTTTGGCTATGCTTATGGCACTGATGCTGTCACAAAGCAAAGGCACTTGCCTAAACTCTAACCCAAAGTCTCTCAGAGTAGCTATCA